CTCAGAGGTCGCCAATAGGCCCTGAGAAGCCAGCAAGGGGCCCTCAAAGGCCGACAAGGGACACTAAAGAGCCGATGTGGGGCTCTTATGGAGAGAAATGTGGATCTTCGGAGCACATAAGGTGTTCTTCCGAGCCTGTGGGGCCCTTCTGAGTCGAAAGATGCCAGCGTGGACCCTCAGCCGCCAATCGGCGTCGCAAGGCCCCTCGGGCCCGAAGCCCCCTGATCTGATGGGGGCACGTTCCCCTGCCCCCCCCCCCCTGGTGCAGATAGAGAATGCAATCGGCGGTGCGGGACACAATAATTGCAATCGTTCCTTCTCCCGTCGCGAGGCCGCCCATCCGACCCATAGTCCCATGATTGTCAACCCTGGGGCTCGGGTCGGCAATGTACCGGCAAGGAAATCAGCTTTAGGTGAGTAAAAACGGTTATTAAGAGTCATTAGTTGTCGTTACGTTCAGTAATAATAACAACGGTGCCAGATGTACCCGACGCACAGCTTGGAGCCGGACACCGCCTGGTTTCCACCAGTGACGTCACGCTAATGCTTAGCGACCGGTCCATTGGAAATCGCGGGATGATTCTACCTCTCTTATACGGCCTTGGCTGAAGCTCACCAGGCGATGACACTCCACCCATCTCTCTCACCGCCTCCTCCCGTCGACCGCTCCCGATGGACGCCCGAGCTGTCACCGGTGGTGGGACAGCCCCTGACGTCACGTCCATGGGCGCCTCCAGGTCATCAGCCCTGGCAGGGCGGGCGGCCGCGGGGCGGACATCAGGAGACTCCGAACGGTCCCGAGCCCCGGCGAGCCCGCGATCGCCGCCGCCCGCCGACCGGTCAGCTGCAGCAGCGGCAGCAACCGGCGACACCGGCTCCAGGGGCGGCGAAAGCTGCACCAGACTGGTGGGCGTCACCCGGGCGCAGTCCAGCAACGATGAAGAAGTCGTGCCGGGTCTCTGATGGTTCACTAGTCACCACGCCGTCCGATCCACCGGGTCCCGGATGGGGGACAGGAACGGCCGACCTTGGCACGCCGCTCAGACTCGGCTGCTTCATCCCCACGGCCTTGTCGAGCCCGGATCCGTCATGCGTGTTCTCTCCTGATCGGGTCTCCATCCCTCTCCCCGCGGGCAGGACGAGACACCTCCTCTCGCGGCGGCCTGAGTGCGCCCCTACGCGGCCGCGGGGTCGCGCGCCGCTCCCGCTCCCGCCAGCTGACGCACCGACTCGGGGTCGCCGATCCGAATAGGAGCCGAGTCACGAGCCCGGCTGCGAGAATAATTCCCGACCTTGTGAAAACGGAGAAAACGATGTCGTCTTTCTTCAAGCCTTAGCAGATCGGAAAACATGGTGTGGCGCCGTGGAGTTAAAAACTCGGTAACAAACAGACCGGTACCCTTCAGCTTCGTCTTGTTCCTGAACAGGACGTCCCTGTCGGAGCCGGGCGTGGCCGTGGTGAAGTCTATGAGGACTCTCCCGTTTCTGAGCCGGACCATGGCCTTCACCTGTGCGCCCTGCTCCACGCGCTGCTGCACAAGGGACCGGATCAGGCGAGCGGCGTCCTCTCGGCTCGTCTTAGTAGTGCCGGCCTGGAGAATACGAGCGAAGTGAGTCGCCTTTCCTGTTGCTCCCGGTCCTCACTCAGCTCTAGCTGCTGGAGCCACTGCCGGAGCTCAGCCGTCTCTCGTTCCAGCTGTAGGATGTCGATGTCCGCTGAGCGCTGCCTCTCGGACATCGCAGTGAGTGAGTCCATCGCAAATGAGACGGCGACTCCTCCACGGCCACGATTCGTTTGTTGTTAGAGTCTCTTATCTGCTTCACACACTTGGAGTTCTCAGACACCATAAACTCCTTTAACTCAGCACACATGTCTCCATCACCCAGTCCCTCCTGGGACGGGTAGCCCACATGGCTGTATACCCCACTGTCACTGTAAGCCGGGCTCCCTCGCTTGTCCACCTGGCCGCGCACGCGAAGCGCCGACACGAACGTGCGACCCGGTTAAGGTCTAACGGCCAACTGATCACGTTCTGCATTCAGTGGCCTCGCCATCGGGGGGCTGAATCAGGAAGTGGCTGGCGCCTTCCTCTCTATCCCATTACTCATTTTGGTCGGTCCTGCCAAAACATTAGTGTCGCTTGCGTATGTAAGCGAAACCAGAGGACATCGCAGCGACAGTGCCGATTCATTTAACTCATTTTGTATGTATGTATGTATGTATGTATGTATGTATGTATTTACGGCGTTAACTCATCCCTTTACCAGACCGAGGTCCAAGGGCTATTCTCGAGTCAGAGTCAAAACATATTAACTAGATATGCAATGATGAGGAATAAAACACAAGCAAACGTCACGCACACCAATAAAAAAAGACATCAGGGCCGGATACGACCCTCCTGCTCGGACAGCACACTATGTCACCTCCAATAAATGTTGTAAGAGCTTGCGGTTAAACTGCGCAGTAGACATGTCCAAAAACTCTCTAGGTAAAGCGTTATACCCGGCGGCTGCGCGGTATGCAAACTGCCTCTTCCCGGTGGCCGAACCACGAATGTTGGGAAGGCTGAGTAGGTGATCCTGCCGCGTACTGCGGCTGTGGTCGACACGTTCGGCATTGGTGACAAACTGGACAGCAAGAGACACAGGCTCACCAGTTCGTCGCATTTTGTGTTAAAGGGTTAGTGTATGGGCTTGGACCATGACAGAGGGATCGAGCAAGCCAAGGGATGCGCGGACAGATGAGATGTGGTCGAATTTCTTTTTGCCGGAGATCACACGGGCTGTTAAGTTAAGAATTTTGTTGAGGACAGTGAGATTCTTTGCAGACCCGTTCCCGTAGACAGAAAGGCAGTGACGGATATGGGACAGGACCAGGGCTGATACCAGGATTGGGAGGATGGCGGTAGGCAGGTAGTGGCAGATGTGGGAGAGACCGGTTAGGATACCAAAGCACTTTTGCGACAGTTTTGAGACATGCGCGTCCCAGGTAAGAAAACGGTCGAAGGTGACACCCAGGTTTTTGGCCTCTAAACATGGTTCTATGAGAGTTTGGCGAAACGATACCGTAAACTGAGGAATGTCGGGTAAATTTTGTCGTGATCCGATGCCGAGAAGTTCAAACTTCTTTTCGTTTACTTTGAGGTCATTTGCGTGGAAATAAGCGTCAAGTGACTGCAGTGGAGTCTCAAGCTTGGAAGTCAAATCAGATAGTGTGGATTTTGGTCCTGAAATTAAAAGTTGGGTGACATCGGCATCTTGAATGATAAAAGCGTCCGCTGTGTACAAGCTAAGGTCGTTGACGAAAATGCTGAACAATAAAGGCCCGAGAGACGAACCTTGAAAAACTCCCTGATTGATATCTAAAGCAGAAGAGCTCAGTGATGCTGAGATAGAGACGCTTTGAGTGTGGCCGGAAAGTTAATTTCGAAACCATACTGTTTCAATGCCGTACAACTCCAACTTTTCGAGCAATTTTGAATGAGGAATGACATCAAGGGCTTTGCTTAAGTCAACCAAACAAAGAAGTGTATGTGGCCCTGATCAATACCAGCAAGTGCTCTGTCGGATATGTGGATAAGGGCTGGCTCAGTTGAGTGGTAAGGTCGGAAGCCGTGCTGCGTGGGAGATAGAAGGCAGTTGGTGGAGAGGCAGTGTTGAAGTTGGCGCTGGACCACCTTCTCAACCACCTTGGCAATGACGGGGAGGATGGAAATAGGACGGTAGTTGGAGGGACTGTCAGGATCACCGGATTTCAGGATGGGATGGATCCGGGCATGTTTCCAGGTGGACGGGATATCGCTAAGGCTAAGACAGGTGTTGACGACATGCAATAGAACGGGTCCTATGGCGCTAAAAGACATCTTAACAACTCTAATACAAAGTCCGTCACAACCACACGCGGAAGAATTTTGCATACCAAAAACAACACGTCGTAAGAATCCGAGACTTATAGGGTGGACAACAAAACCACATGCACCGACACGCGGCAGTCGTACAGGTAAGCGTACCGGAGTGTCGTTCACATCAGATTGTAGCTCTGCAGCACCATTTGAACCGACATTGACGAAGTATTGGTTCAGCGCGTCAGGACTAACGCGGCCACACACTGTCTGCGTATCGCGCTTACTTTTTTTGCTGACCCTTGGTGACTTTTTTTTCTACGCCGCCACCCATGAATAGGTGACCAGGAGTGCGCCCTCCCTCTATCCCAGCGACACACAGAACCTTACGTTAACACCAGACCAAACTTATGTAATATGACAAGTCGCGGCACTCCCTGCTAAGAGTAAGGAAAAAAACAAAAGAAAGCAAATAGCTGTGGAGTGAGCATGCTGTTAATATGTTAACATACGAGAAGCAAAGTGGTCAGTGGTCACAACTGCAAACAGTTAGTGACTGCCCTCCTACACCCCTGGAACGCCCACAGATACACACTCATACAGGGTAATGTTAGTGGGAGGAAGGTGATAGAGGGGTAGCAGTCATACAAATAAAGTGGATGGTTGAAGGTGATCTTTCTGGTCAAATTCGAGCAGGATCAGTTACTGAACCCCTGCAGGGCTGTCCAACTAAGCAAGGCTTGTTGTCGGACAGCCCACAGAGGCCAGTTCCGAGGTGACAAGTGTAGAAATAAAATTTAATTAAAATAAATAAATAAATATAAATACCCTTCACTACTTGGCGTAAATTTCGCCACACTGACGCCGGCCCGTCCGCAGCGATCCTCCCCTCGATATCGCATCTCACATCGGCCCGCACATCCGCCCGTACCGCTCTGTTGGCGGCCCGGTAGTCATCCGAGCCGCGCCCACGGCCGGCGAGCGTCGCAGCCCGCCGGGCCATCAGGTCACGGGTGGCTGCTGACAGGGGCGGCGCGGAGGGCTTTCTCATTTTGATCTCACGGACGGGAGCATGACGATCAAGGGCACATCGTACGGTATTGGTATTTGTTTTAATTGGCATTTTAATTTGTATTTGTCTGTCTGCATTGCTTCCAGGTGGCTATATACGGATACTTAGCTGGGAACGCTGCAGCCGCCATCGCCATCGACAGAGTCGTTCTGCACCGAATTGAAGACTCTAACGCCTGCGAGGAAGGTGAGTGACTTTGAGGAAGGCCCAATGGCCGTGTACACTGTACAGGTCACCGCTAAAGTAATGTGGGGTTCTACTGTGATCGAACAAAACATAGCGCCATTCCTTGACGGTAAGATATATCGTCAAAAGCGAGGATCGCACAGCTTCGTATTTCAGATTGACAACTTTCTCTAATGTGTCACCATTCTACCTGCCACAGCATGCTCGTTATCATCGAAAAACTGAAATATCGAGCCCCTTGGAGCACCCCGGAGTCATGTTTCTGTGACCGCCACCAGTGACGTACCCAAGGGGGGGGGGCCCTCAGGCCCCGGTATGTTTTTTCAAACACTGGATAAAACGTCTTTTACTAGGAAGAAAAATGATAACAAGGTTTCATTTATGTGCCCCTGGTTACCCAAGGGGCCCCTGATGACCCGATGGGCCCCTGCAGTCATCCGAGGGCCCCCGGTTTCCTGGGCCCCTTGTCGCCTAGGGGGCCCCTGGTAGCCGGGGCCTGGTCGCATGGGGCCCCTGATTGTCTGGGGGCCTGGTCGCATGGGGGCCCCTGGTTGCCTGGGACCCCTGAGGGCCCCTGGTTGCCTGGGGGCCCTGGTCGCCTGGGCGGCCTGGGGGCCCCGGGTGACCTAAGAGTCCCTTCGGAAGCAGGTGGCCCCCTCCTGGGCGAAATCCTGGGTACGTGCCTGACCGCCACTGAACAGAGTTGTAAACCTACGCGCGTGCGTACTACGCAATAGTAAGGAGTCATTGCTGGACCCTCCAGTGGAGAGTAGCCCTGCCATTGATGATCCGGACACCAGCATCGGCCGATAGGAGCTGCTCTCTGACAGGCGAGGAGGGGGAGGGTCTGAGGTGGGGAGGGGTTGACCGCGGGGCTACTGGCCGGTGCAGTGGGAGGGGTGGGTGGAGGTAGGGTGACAGGGACACCAGCCTCAGGGCAACAGTGAGCTTTGACCCGAGGCGTGCGAGAGCGATGCCCGATGCCATTTTGTGAAGCAGCCAGCGTGTCACGGATTCACGTGGGAGCTTTGACTGAAATAACTATCAAGGCTACAGTTTTGAAGATAGAAAAAACAGCATTTGAGAGAAGATGTTCGTAATGAGCAGTTGTAACTTACTACAATATCAGATTTACAATTTATTTTATTTAAAATATTTGAATGAATTGATGTTTTGCATAACAATAGCCGATCAGAATACGTTAAATTTTAACCACCTGTATAGTCTAATTCTGTAAAATATTTGTGCATTGGCTTCGGTTGTCCGCCGAACTTCTTTGTTCATTGAGGGCCTCATCGACATGACCTGTATTACAAGATTTACGCTGTAGCAAAATCCTACGCTAGCTGTATGAGTAGAAATGCTGTATGACAAAGGCACGGGCGCCTGACAACTGGGTCGAGGCAGGTGGAGGCCGGCCAGAGGTCATGCTCGTGTCAATCACCCTTGACCCCGTCCACCGCCCCCGGCGGATACTCAACAGTGCGCTCATTGGCTCATTGGTTTGTCTCAGTGAGCGCCAATCACAGTCAGTTCAGTGTGCGTGCTGCGTGTGAGATGAGAGATCACAGCGAAGCACGATACCGCCATAACTCTATACTTGGAAGAGGCCTTCTGGACGGCGTTGCCAGTTAATGGGGTGGGGGAGAAATTCGACATACAAATAAGTTTCTAAAATAAAATGGTCAGTGGATGAATAGCATAACATTTCTTTCAAAGTTCACTCGTTTTCATAAAAAAAGACGAAGAGAAGAAACAACGTTGAAGCATATGACTATTAAAGGGACTATCCCACCTTCTAAAATGTTGTTAAAACCAGTTAAATTGTGCCCGACTTTATAGATTGGATGACCAGGAACACGGTTCTGGCATTTATTTTTCATTAAACGTCTTAGGCTTCCCATATTCCCAACACAAACTTTCAAACATGTGACGTCACAGCCCAAAATTACCTCCTTCCCCAGGCGACATTACTGTCATAAAGCTGATTCTTTTTACTCTGTAGGCACCACAACGAAGTTCAGACCAAGTTTTAAACGATTTTTCAACGAACAAACCCATTTAAATCAGAATGACTAAACGAGGTGACGTCACACTAACGGTCGCTCCATGTTGAAGATAGGGCCTTGCACAAGGCCCATTTTCAAATGAAGGGAACGAATTTCTTCAACACCAAGAGGCCGCGGGGGTTGCAACCTAGATAGATAGTGGTTTCTGAACCTCGCCGCAAACTTGGCTATCTCAACTCAAACCCCATGTTAAAGGTGGGATAGTCCCTTTAAGCGAGCCAATACTTTTTTTAATTTATATTTATGGAAGGGTGCAATGTAATTGCAGTCACACTTGTATTTTTTTAGCGATTGCATTTGAATTGGTGATCATTCCGTACACGGTCTGAAGCTATCGGGATAAATAATTGAAATACCTGGGTGAATTGCGCCACCCATGTGCCGATGAGTTTGAATTTTTCCGCTTTGCGATAAAAAACAACTGTTTTACAAGTAGGACGGCTTCCGTTGACCAAACGTTTGTCATCTCAAAGGGCGGCGACCACCTCCCCGTCCCTCCTCGACCCCTCCCCTTTATTTACACGACGGAGTCCCGTCCCTCACCGCCGACTGGTCACGTGATTGGCCTCGCCCGAGGCCCAGCCGACTGACCCGGAGCGCGGTAGGCGTCATGCCATGCTGCTTTAAATCACTCACCACATCGCGGCTACTGTTCAGAGAGCCGTGACACCAGAAACGTCTTGGCGGAGCGGTTAAGCGTTAGGCTATGGATCGCGGGGTCGCGGGTTCGGTCCGCGCCGGGGTTGTCCGTTTTCCACAGACTGGTTCTGGCCGGCTCAGGCGAGATGGATATATCTTTTGAGGTTATGACCTCACGAGCACTATGAATACAATCGACATTCGTTGACTCTTGTTCGGTCATAAGACAGTGTCCTGAAATTGATTTTTCGGAGAGTGTGATTGAAGCCGCAAGGACGTCAGTATTTCATAAGGACGTCGATATCGGTGCGGAGCCTCAGCCACTGAAGATCCCTTAAATCTCTTAAAATTAGCGATTTTCACCAGCAATTTTGACTAATAGCACCTCAAGGCACCTCAAAGGATCATATATAGACACAAAGTAATGCCAGTTTACCCCTAGTACAATACAAATTTCAATCATTCATCGCAAACACCTAAACAACACTTTGAAGATGTTTAGTTCTTGTCCATGATCGGACACAGCAGTCAGTGACAAATATGCTTCAACAAAAATCAGCCCAAGAGCCAGCGGCTATCACTAAATATTGACGTCATAAGAGGGATATTATATCGAGCAAGAGGAGTGACGTAAAAAACAGACGTCCAAACAAAGAGATGGAAAACAGTTAGGAAAATTAATTTCCATAGCTTCCTGTTATGAAATTCAATTAAGAAAACTCCAAGGTAGACGCTGAATTTTTCTTGGCTGGAAAAAAAATGTGAAATCATCGTGCACTTTTCAGTTTTGTACCGACGTCGATTTAATGGGAATGACAAGGTCAATCGACGTCCCCAACATTGCATGTATTTTTAAGGCAAAGACGACATACTTTAATTAAAACTGTTGAAATTCGGTAACTTTATTTTAATTCAAATAAATAAACACAAACTTTTTTCCCAACCACCATCAACATATGCAAAATTAACTGCTTTTGAAGGGTAGGTTCAAGGGGCAGCGCTACCCCGTTACTGTGACCTTCTGAGGGGAAAAAATAATTAAATATGTTACAGTGATTTGATACAAAAGGTATGTTGTGTGCTTATAGATGAATGTCGAAGTAATATATTCGCATGATTAATTTTTATCTATACACTGCACAGTTACTAAAACTGAAAAGTGGAAAACGACGTCCTCAGATCCCTTTATTCCGACGTCTTTTCTTCTTCATATGGCAGCTATTACCTTCACATGATAAAGGAAAAAACCTATCCATATCTGACGCACAGAAAACGAAAATAAAACCGCGTTGTTTACTCTTGCGGCAGTTCGCCAGCGGTGTTGGAAAGGGGAGTTGAGTATAAGAGTGGGTTTGTGAGGCCTTGGGATATATTTATTGTCATTTTGCACAGCCGTGTTTTTAGGCCACAGAGGCGATATTTCTTTTTGTTAGTTTGCTTTTGGTGTTCGATATACCTGTGTACTTTTATCTGTCAGGGACGTCGTTTGGCTTTCCGGGACGTCACAAAGAGAATCTGTTCGGGTGTGGGTTTCCACCCAAATTCACGAAAATCAGGACACTGTCATAAGATATTAGCCGATTATATGTTTGTGTATGGAAATATCTCTTTTCTAATTCGCAAAAAGTAACCGACTCACTTTATCATCATATAACTCACTTGACGTCATTGCACTGGCAAGTGAGTTGCTAGAAATGTGACCTCGTCAGAACCATTTTGCAGGTTGTTAAAAGGACAGACAAGTCCATTGGCTGCGGTGACTATGCAACCTGCCCTGATCATGTAAACGGCATTGTGACTAGTTCAGCCACGAACACATTCCGCATTTTCCTAGAAAGAACTATCGGCACGCTCGGTGCCGCGGAGGGTATGCAACCTTACAGACCCGCACTGCCCAGCGCTCCGCTAGCCCGTAGGCGGTTGGCGAGGCTGACCCCACTGACCTCGCTTCGCGACGAGACTCTCGGTCACTCACGCCACAACCGAGAGGCGCCAGCCTCGACGCAGGGGCATCTGGCGCCATTCATGCTGCCTCCGAACACGGTGATTGGTTTGCTGCAGAGTCTGCGTGGTTTGCTGCGTGGTTGGGGCATCAGTGGCGTAATCAGGAATTTAGTTACCAATCTCGCCAACAGATGGCTCTGACCGACGATTTTTAAATACGGAGTGATCTAAAGGTAGGTGACATAATACGGGCTTACAGCTGCAATGATGATGGCACATGTAGGCTACATTCCAAGTTTCATGATAATCTGACAAATGGTTCCCAATATACAGATGCAAATTCTAACC